GCTTTAACTAGTTCGGCGCCCTGGACGGCAAGGGAGGGGAAGGGCGTTGTTGATGTCGGCGAGGTGGGAGGGCGGTGCAGTTATTTAGTGGCACGCCCTTCCGCCACTGCCGGCCCTGGCGGCGGTTCGAGGACACGGCGAGGACGACGCCGAGGACGACGCCGAGGACGACGCCGAGGATGGCGCCGACGGCACACACGCGTCCGCCACGTGCACAGGTGGCGGCTGCCGCAAAATGAGAAAAACGAGACAGGAAAAAAAAGAGAGGGGCGAAAGTCAGCCGCCGCCTCGCTCGCTTTCCACACAGTGTTGGGGTGCATCGCGTGCTCGTCGCACCTGCATAGCGACACCGGCACTCTGTCTCTCTCGCACCCGCGCGGAGCGCGCTAAGAGCCACGAGAGCGAGAGAGACAGGGCGACGTCACCGGTACCAACCTCGCCACGCGCGATGATAAATGGCCGTGAGTGGCGACGCGTGGCCCAGCCCGCCACTCGAATTATTATCGACAAACTTTTGTCCACTTTTGCCGCGACTTCGCCAGCCCTCCAGCCAGGCAGCCAATCCAGCGCTGCGACATTCGGGGTTATTGAAAGACGTTTCCAGGCCGGTGCCTATCTGACTCGCCGATAGCGCCGCCGATATGAGAAATTGGGGCTGCGCGTGAATCTGTTTTATGTGGAGCCTCAGCCTTGGCGGTGCCTGGCCGCGCCTGGCAGGGGCTCTGGGAAGAGGGCACTCGTGTCTCCTTGCCGGGCTTGCCGCCCCGCTCAAGCCTAATCCGGTGATCCTTGTTAGGGTCTCTCTCTCTCTCCGATACCCTTGAGGATCGTTGGCCCTCGTTACCGCCTCGGTGACCCTTGCACGGATTATTACCCCGGCTCAAAAAGAGCCCCCGCCGCTCCGTCTCCCTCGCACGCGTGGGGCGTTCCGTCGTTCCGCGAGGGTGCGAGAGAGAGAGAGAGAGAGAGAGAGAGAGAGAGAGACGGAGCGTCGCGGCGCCGTCAGTCCGCGAGGAGAATCCATCATGCCGGCCGTGACACGTGTTTGCATCGGTCGCCGTCATCGCTCTGGAAGGGCCTGGCAGGTCCTGGAGGACCAGGAGGACGCTGGAGGACGCTGGAAGGACCTGGAAGGACCTGGAAGGCAGCGCGGATCGCATCGCTCCAGTAGCAAGGCTGTCGCCGCCAGAGCAACCGCACCGAACCACACTAATAAGCATCTGCTGCCAACCCTCCCCCTCCCCTTGTTTCCAAAGCTTTTTTTTTCTTTTAGGGTCGGGACGGCTGGAGGAGTTTGTCTTTGTCCCCGCATGCTTAACGGTGCCCCGGGCTCTACACCGTCTGCGCGAGTCAAGCCAGTGAGCCACCCTTCATCTTCAGGCCCTTCAGGGTCACTTGGCCCGCCATTCGCAAAGGCCAACGACGCGGCCGCGGGGGCGGCGGCACGGCAGCGCCAGGGCGAGCGAGAGAGACGGACCGACAGAGAGAGGCGTCATAAGGCGCCCCCACTCCCTGCAAATACGGCCTCCTGGAGGAATCCGCGCGCCTTACGGTGTGGGCACACGCAGGCACCGCCCCTCTGTCTCTCTCGCACCCCCACGGCAAGCCCTACGGCGTCCCAGGAGTGCGAGAGAGACAGAGCGATGCGCCGAATCGCTCAGGCTGGGTCAGGCAGTGAGCACGACGGAAAATAAATAGAATTCGTCCAGATCGTTTTCCTGGCGAGGCGAGGGGCTCCGGGGGGTCCGGCTGGGAATGTTGACTGAAAACAAAACTCTCCACGGCAGCGGGGCGGCGAAGCGGCGGAGCGGGGCAGAAATATTGGCCGGACATTCTGCTGCCCGCCCCGCCTCGCCCCGCCCCGCCTCGCCCCGCCCCGCCTCGCCCCGCCCCGCCTCGCCCCGCCCCGCCCCGCCCCGCCCCGCCCCGCCCCGCCCCGCCCCGCCCCGCCCCACCCCGCCCCGCCTCGCCCCGCCCGTCGGGGATGCCGTCCCGGGCGTGGCTTAGACGCTGCAGGGGAGACGGTCCGATAGAACACAGCCTTGCATGCGAAAAAAGGACTGGGAAAGGCCTCCTCCTTGTTTTGGCCGTGCATTGTGTCACAGAGAATGGCCCTCTCCTCGCCGGCGGCAACAGTTTGGAGTGGCGGTGTGTTGGCCTGCTCGCCTTGCCTCGGTGCGCACACTACACTGTGCACTCGGACGGCCTAGCCACGCCACGGCACGGCTGGGAAAGCAGCGCCGCTTTTGTTTCGGCTGTGCGACACAGGCGCCTCAGCCGAGCGGCGCTGTCTCTCTCGCACCCAAGGGGCGTCGCGCAGGGGAGCGAGAGAGACAGACGGCACCTGCCGTCCGGATTGGCGCCGAGATGAGGCATTCGTAATTTGCACGCCGCTTCGTTCCGCGTGTAGTCGCGGAAGTTTGGCCGCGCCCGACGCACAAAAGGCGCGAAATGAAGGGAAATCAAAGGGAAGTACAACGGGCAGAAGGAGCCGGTCGCTATTTAGCCCTTGTCAGCGCATTCCCAACTTCTCATCACGCAGGGGGAAGGGGAAGGGGAGGGAAGGCAGCGAGCTTTCATCATTTTTTCGACAATTCTGCCGCGTTTCCTGCGTCTTCTGTCCGAGTCACGTCGTCGAAATCGGCGACCGCATCCCGCCAGCACCGCCGCCAACCACCACCACACCGCAAGATAATAATTGGCGAGAAAATAAAATGGCTCAGAAACTTTTAAATGAAGCATCCGCGGGCAAGGCGGGGCGGGGCGGGGCGGGGCGAGGCGAGGCGGGGTGGGGCGGGGCGGGGCGGGGCGGGGCGGGGCGGGGCAAGGCCGCCGCGCCGGCCCAGACTTTTCCCCGTTAATGAGTCTTTGGCCTTATTTCGTTACCCCTTGCCAGGCGGGCCTGTACTTGAGTTCCTCCTCGCTGTCTCCGCGACTCGCCGCGTCAGCGTGCCTAGCCTCGCGTCAGGTCGAGTCTGGCCTCCGAGGCTCCGACGCCGCAGCCACGCGCGTGCAGTTTGCGTGCAGTTTGCGTGCAGTTTGCGTGCAGTTTGCACCCCAATCTCGACTTCCGAGGAAAGTGCCGTCTGGAAACGAGTTATTCCAGTTCTTTCGTCGCTTTTCGTCGTCCTGTCCGCGCGCGAGCAAACTCCTCGCCCATCTGCGGCGGCCATATCCCCCCGCTGCGCGCACAAAAAGGTCGGCTAGGCTACTTCCAAAAAAAAATCTCATTCAACGAACGTTAATGAAAGCAGATGATCCGTCGCGTTTCACAACTGCTGTGATAGCCGAGAAGTTAGAGACGTCGGATCGAGTTACCGCAGGCGGGCGTTCGAATACCAGCGTCACATACGTTTTTTCGACTTACTATCCTAAGGGTGGTGGTTCGAGGCCATCCGAGCGGAGCCGTGTGCAACAGACCCACATGCCGGAGGTTCGACTCCTTACAAATATTTCCATTTAATTTTACTGCCTCACCCAGTGCGGTTGAAACCCGTGAACGTGAGCCCACTCTGTGCATGGGACGTGGTGGTCCAGGGAGTAGAGGCGTCGGTTCCCAATGCCAGGGTCGGCGGTTCGACTCCCCCAACTTCTTGCGAAATTTTGACCGGGTCGGTCGAGTCCTGTTGCGTCAAGAACCCACCTCACACCGATCCCCTCATCATGGGCCGTGGTGGCCGAGAGCGTAAAGTCGTGTGATCCCGATGGCGGGGTCCGGGGATCGACTCCCATCATTTCATTACATTTTTCGGCCGCCTTCCTCCCAGTGCAACTCAAACCCGTCGTCCAACACGCTGCCAGACGTACAAGCGTGACAGCGTAGTGGTCAGAGTCACATTCACCTGGCCACTACGCTGTGGGTGTCTAAAAAGCAATCCGCTTCGGCGGGTTGGCCTCGGCACTGGAGCGATGGAGTATTTGATCCATCAATCCAGACCATCCGGTGTGTGGTTGCGGGTGGTGCCTCCTTGATTCGTCGGGGAGGCGATGATAAGTCCTTTGAAGCTGGCCTAAAACGCTGTATGTTCGGTACGGGAGCGCCGGACAGTGGGGGTACCATGGGGTACACAACCAACCCTACGAAAACAAGAAGCTCCCACCAAACCTCTTCTCTGTCTGAGTCTCTCTCTGTCTCTCTGTCGCCTCACTCTACGTCCCGCCCCTCAAAGAGCTTCACACTGGGTGCTTCGACCCAGCTGTCTGAGCTTTGGGGTCCTACTGGGTCCCCCGGCGAACGCTTGGGTCGCTGACGGGATTAACCCCAGGTACCTGATAGCACCGGTTCCCATCCCGAACACCGAAGTAAAGCAGGAGGCCTCCCCATTAAGACTGGGGAGGGGGTGTAGAGTTCAATTTTTTTTCTTTTCCCTTTCAAATTTCCCAGTCAATACTCGTTCGGTTTCCTTATCCGGGGTAGTATGCGTAGTAGTATGCGGTAGTAGTTTTAAGTATGTTTCAAGTGTGAAGGTATCATCTGCTAAAAATAAAACTAAATATTTTTTTTCCTGGCTAGACGGCAAGAGTGGCTGTGCATTTATGAAACGACCTGTTGCGTGCAATTTCGTCTCGGAGAGCCGGCCAGGTTAATGAATCAACAACGAGGCTCGTTGAGTGCTCTCTCTCTCTCTCTCTCTCTCTCTCTCTCTCTCTCTCTCTCTCTCTCTCTCTCTCTCTCTCTCTCTCTCTCTCTCTCTGGGTGTGTGTGTGAGAGAGAGAGGGAGATGGGAGAAAGGAGAATGGAGAGAGGGGGAGATAGAGACAGACAAGAGAGAGAGAGAGAGAGAGAGAGAGAGAGAGAGAGAGAGAGAGAGAGAGAGGTGTATGTTGGCGCGCAATTGGCCTACTGCCTCGGGCCGTCTCAAACTCACCCTCTGACGTGCGGCCGTGCGGGATGCGACGCTTGGTGTGGGGAATTGAGGAATTCATGAGGCTGTTGTGGTGCAGGCTGCAGGCTGGCTGCCGACTGGCGTCGTTAGGCCGTGGACTAGGCCGTGCTCGCCATGGACGAGGAGGTCGCCCCGCTGCCCGAGGGCGTCCCCGGCGTGGCGGTGCCCTGGGCGCCGCCCAACTGGACCTACGCCTTCCCCGTGGACTGCGACGCCACGGTGCCCATGTCCAACGCGTTCCGGGTAAGTAGTGTCACTCTGGAACAGAAAAGTGGTGCAACTCTCAGCCGAAACTGTGTCGTTGTGGAGGCAGCTCGCCTGTTGCCGCATTGAGATGCCCCTCAGCGCGGCCTTGTTGGGTTGGCCAGCGCTACTTGGTATTCTCTCCGACCGTGTTGTGTGTGCGCGCAGGTTGCGGTTTATCTCATGTACTGCCTGGTGTTCCTGGTGGCGCTCGTGGGCAACGGGCTGGTCATGTACTGCGTCGTCTCCTCGCCGCGCATGCGCACCGCCACCAACTTCTGGCTGCTCAACCTGGCCGTCGGCGACATCCTCATGACCGTGCTGTGCGTGCCCTTCTCCTTCGTGCCCACGCTGCTGCTGCAGTACTGGCCCTTCGGCGTCGAGCTGTGCCACATGGTGAGTCACACAGTCGCCCTCTTCTTTTTGTTCATTTTCATTTGCCGAAAAGAGGCTGTTAAATTCACACGGCCAAACCCGTTCACTTTTCCTCGGAAGCCAGGACACTTTCTTTGCCCGCGCACGGCACGGCGCTGTAAAGCCAGAAGTCTTTCAAGTTAAAACTCCGTCCATTCGTCCTTTATTTTGTTCCGAGTGACGACACCCTGTATGGATCCACGGCAAGAAATGAAGCGAAGTTGAGCGCATCATCAGCGACTTGGCCGCTAAGCTCCGCGCCGTCTCGGCCGCGTGGCCGTGTCCGCCGTGGCCGCGGCTTCCTCGAGGAGCCGAAGGGCGTCTGATTCGCGTCGCGCCGACCCTCTCGCACCCCTGCGGGTCCATCCGGGACGCCCCGCGAGTGCGAGAGGGACGCCTCCGAATTCGCAGCCAGGGAATGTAGGTCGGTTCAGCGAGGCAACCCGAGCCGCGCGATGACACAATCGCAACAAGCGATTATTGGCGAAAGAGAAACGAAACGGGATGGAACGGCGGACGCGGTTGGGATTCGAGTCGCCGCGGTTTCGGAGTCCCGCCGGCGCCGCCACCCGATACGTCGTGCTTTTGATGTTTTGACAGCGCCGCTTTCTTCATCTCGAGAGCCTTTCGCGAGGAGACGAGTATCTCAGCAAAGTGCAAACCCTCCCCCCCCCTCTCCCCGCGGCGACGGCGTCCTGGCCGCGGTCCTCGCGGGTCCCGGTGGCGACTCGTCGAGCTCCACGGCCTCCGCAGCGGCGCGGCGGGTCGCTCCTTTTGTGATGTGCCGGGCAGGGCCGCGCGGAGCGCCGAGGAAAACAAATTACGCTGTACCGACTCGACTCCGGCTTGCTCCGGCTCGACTCGGCCGCTGGCGATTGTTCCTTTCGGAGGGCGGACGTCAACGGAAGGCAACCTAAGCGTGGGGGCTCCGGGCAACACCACAGAGAGAGAAAGGCACAACAACAACAAGAGTGGTGAAACCGGATCACGTGACATTAGCTCTGGCGAACAATGGCGCTCTCATTGTGAGGCAGGCAAACAGGCGCTGCCTCTCTCGCACTCGCGGCGCGGCCCGTGAGGGCGCGAGAGAGACAGAGCGACGAGCCCACCTGCAGCTCGACTGCGTGACTGCGTGACGTGGACCTGCTCCATAATTCAGGCGCCAAAATGCCGCCCCCGCCCGCCAGGTGCGCCGCGAGGTGCCCCTGGGTGGCGGCCGCTCTGCCGCTCTTTGCGAGCGCAGCCCGCAGAAAAAAGAAAACAAACAAAAACAAAACAGCAGAACAAAGCATCCGCCGAGGTGTTGAATAATCCTGTCCGTTGCCTTGGACTGACGCGGTTGGCCTTTCCACGCCCAAACAGCCGCCCCTGGCTGGGCCTGGCAGACGGCTGTTCGTCCCACCTGTTGTTGTTGTTGTCGCTGCGGACGGTTTGTTGTTGTTGTTGACGCTGTTGTCGTCGGCCCCAAACTTGTCTCTACGGCCCAACTTCGAAGAAAGGAGCCGCGGGACAATAATTACGCTCGCGTGGGGGGCCGACAGGGTAAACTCCCGCACCTAACCGCCAGGGCCAGGAGGGAGGATGACCTCAACGAATGGCCGTAAAAACAAAGACAGAAACCGGGCGCGGCCAGGGCGCGGCCAGGCCGGCACCTCGAACGGCCATCGGCCCGCGCGCACCGCGTGCAAGGCGCGTTCGAGACAGTGTCGCATTCGTCGCGCTGTCTCTCTCGCGCCTGTGGGATTCGCGAGGGAGACAGAGTGACGAAGTTTGGAGGCCGCCGCCGTGGTGTTGGCGGCCCTGCTCGTCGCGGGCCGTTGCCCGGATTTGAATTGGCGCGTCGGAATGAAGCGCGGACGTGATCCGGGACCCGCGAATGGGGTGCGCGTGACTGGCGTGACTGGCGCGGCCGTTCTGTTCGTCACGGCAGGGGGTAGGGCAGGGGAGGCACACGCGTAAACGCCACGCACGTCGCCGTCATGCGTCTATCCGCGCGGGACGCACGCACGCACGGCCGCTAGGCGCGTGACGCGGACCGAGAGAGAGAGAGAGAGAGAGAGAGAGAGAGAGAGAGAGAGAGAGAGAGAGAGAGAGAGAGAGAGAGAGAGAGAGGCGCCAAGTCCTTGATTAAAGTCCAGGATCATGTACACTGCCTGCCGCCCTCGCTGTGCCCGGGCAGGGCGGCTGCGCCAGGGCTGCGCCCTCGACCCCGCACTGGACCACTTGCCCTCGCCGGCGACCTCCTCGTCGGCGACCCGTTCGGTGACCGGCTGGCCCACCTCCTCCTTGGCGACCCCTCAGAGGACCTCCTTGGCGACCATTGACTCCAGAGCAGACCGTCTCGACGTCGTGAGCGCGCGTTTTTCGACGTTTTACATGCAAATTTTGAGTGAAGTTGCTGTTCCATCATTCTGCTCCGGTCTCGTCTTTGACTCGGCATGTTTTATTTATCGGCCAAGGCACCGGTGGGTGGTACGTGCACCATTCAAAGCGACTCGGTACTCTCGGGATGGCTCCGAGTTTCAAGCTGGGGCAGAGGCCCTGCGAAATAAAACTCGGATATGAACATGAGTGCATCCCACTGTTTGAAATTGTATTACTTGAAAACTCGAAAACGTGGCCGCCGGGTTTGCCAGTGTAGCCACCGTTTCCCGGACCCCGGCGGTTTAACAGCAGCCGGATAAATCCCACGCGTCGTCAAACACGCGCTCGCCGACACTTTTATTCGCGACACTTTCCGACCCATTTCCTTTCGTCAGCCGTTCGGCCGTTCGGCCGTTCGGCGTTCCGGCGTCGTCAGCGGCAACGTCCTCGCCACCTCGGCGAGCTTTCCGAAGTCCACTTTTGGTACACACTGTGGAAAAAAAAATCAACTTAAACCCACTGATTCCCAGGCCTCTCGACTCAATCTTAGGGAAGAATTCTATCCCTCCTAATAATTAATTTTGAAAACGTTTTTAAACTTCAGTGTCTACATTTTAAATTTCTTCTTCTTTGTGTGCGGGTTTTTCTTTTGAGATTTTGGAAGTGCAGCTGGTACTACACCGCGGGGTTAGTTGGCGGTGAGCATGATGACCTACAGCTTCAATTAGGCGATAACGGCCGGCATTTGTCCCTCCCCCCTCCCCCCGGGGCCCCTGCCGCTCCCTTCCGGTGTACCTGTTGCGGAATTCGCCGCGCTGCCCTGGGCTGCCCCGCCAACGCCCAGCACGCCGTGTTCCCGCTGAAAACCCCCCCCCCCTCCCTTATTCCTGAGAGGTGATAAAGAGGAAGGGAATCCCGTCCCAGCCTCCCGGCCGCCCCGGGGCTTTGTCCTGCTTCCACACCGCACCCCCCTTCCCCAACGCCCCCGCCGCCTTCCCGGCCCACGCCGTTTGCCCCCGCTGGGTTGTCACAGTGTCCTCGCTCGCGCCGTGCCTCGCCGTCGCTCCCCCTCCTGGCGGGAACCTCCTTGAACCCGTGCGGGCAATTAGCTGTCATTTTCGCCGCTGCTGTGTCGTTGCTCTCTGTTTGTCAATGTGGGAGTAATTGCAGTTTTTTTCGTGTCGCGGTATGTGCACGCATGCATAAGTGTGCCCGAGGCGAATGCAAAGCAGGGGTCTGTCTGCTAATTGGGGCGTTGTCGGAGTGGGGAGGGGGATTCAAATCTGCGAGCCGGAAAGCGGCAACAATGGCGGGCGGCTTCTTGTCGCCCCCACTGGGCTCCGCCGCTTCCCCGTTTCACCTCCGCGAATTGGATTGAGGCGAGACACAGCGTCAGATGAGAACGGCAGACAGACCTCGCCGCGCCCGCCGCAATCCTAAGGCAAAGTTTGAGGAACGTTAGCATCAGCGTATATCGCCACGGAAGTGGGCGCAAATCTCCACAATGCTCTCCTGTAGGGAATCCTCACTGGTTAGATGGATATGACACGATATGACACTCTTCTCGTTCACTTCCTCACTGAAAGTAGCTTCAGCTGGACGAATTTCCTTACTTCGATTCCTTAATTAAATATTTTTGTTTCCGAGAGAGAGAGATTACGTTTTTCGAAAGAGGATTCGCATTCGCTATTCCAGTCGAGCGATTCAACATCCTCTCTCTCTCTCTCGCAGAGAGAGACACGGCGACGACGGAACGCTGTGTGAGCGGAATCAGTCGGCTGGACACACGTACGCGAGTTCAACAGCCGGGTGCAGTCACTCATGCCGACGCAGTCGCATTGGCTGGGGAACGGTAGAGGGTGGGGGCAAACTGACTACTCCGTTAATGTCTCGCGTCGCTCCCGATCGCACAGCTTGTTTAGCACTTCAAACCTCACTGTCCAACTTTTCTTTAAAACGCTTTACACCCATTAGTCCCACAGCGCCCCAACAAAAAAAAACTAACGCGTTAATGACACTCTAAAATCGGGTAAGCAGTCAATTCCGCGCGAAGTTCGCGCCGCGCTAGCGCTGCTGTAGTCCGATTCGCTCTTTCTCCCAGGCACACCGCAAGTGCGAGAGAGACGGAGCGACGGGGCTCTGTTTGCAGAATCAGCCTAGGCGTTGGAGGGCTGTCTGGCCAAGGAAGTAGCCGTGGCGATGCTGAGATTCACAACGAGGCTCGCAGGCCGATTCCGGGAGTCGTTTTCGTCGCTCTGTCTCTCTCGCACCCATACGGGACGCCCCATGAGTGCGAGAGAGACGGAGTGACGAAGACCTCTCTCGGAGTGAGTCGGCCAGGGCTGAGAAGACGTGGCCGGAATGGGGGGAGAGGGGGACTCTCCACCCATGCCAATCAATACGTTCCGGAGTGCAGTCCACGTTCCTTTGAGCAGACCGGTGGATTGCCGGGACCAAAAAAAGACACCCGCCCCCACAAAAAAAGAAAAATAGTTGGCAGATGAGCGGTTGGGGACCAAGGGACGTCGGTCTCTCGTGTGGGGGCCTCAATCAGTGTGGCCGCGCGATCTACCCTGTGCTTTTTCTGCCTTTCGGCACGCCGACGCTGTCAGTGTTCT